AGAGGTCCGGTGTCGGGTGGCCCGGCTGGGTGACATTTCAGACCAACTGCTGAGCACCAGATGCAGGTGCATCACTGGGAGAGAGGAAGTTATGTAACCGCACAGAAAACTCCAGAAGGTCTTCTCACATCGTTTTCTCATAACTGGACTCGAAACCGAACGTCAACATAAAACTTCTACATGTTGAATCCGTGTTTATGCAGCGTGGACGTCTGCTGTGCTTTAAAGACGTTTTGGTGATTGTCTGTTCGGGTCCTCGTTGGTTTTTACGACGTAGCGGATTCGGTTTCAGGCCCTCTCCTGAATACCTGAACGTGGTGTGACATTTGTTTTTCGGGGAAACCGTCTGCGGCGAATTTCCAATTAGCATGGGAACAGCTATTATTAAGGGCTACAGTATCCTCAGCGTTGAAACCGGAGCTGCTTCATTCTAATTAGACGAGTTTGTACATTGCATCCACCTGTTATAAACAGAACGAGAAGTCATCAGGAGCACGGTGTTGCTCCACATCTCCTGTTAAGTCAGAGCCACCTTAGCTTTAAATACAAGGCCTTTGCGTCGGACCAATACGCCACTTTTGTTCATTTGGAGACTCCTCTGTCATTTGTTTAATCCGGTTCTTATAATCTTTATTCCATGAGAGCTTCCAAGCCAGATATCCTTGAGACTCCAGCCAGATCACACAGTAAACTTTCCAGTCCTTAACAAAGTCATGCGTGTCGAAGCCACTCAACATAGCTGGTTGTTTAGCCTCAGAGCTCAAATGTCGTCTAAGTGGCAAACTGTTGGACCAGAAGCGATAAAACGAAACGTGGTCACATGATAGCATTTGCACTTAAGCAGTCTGTATTAATAGTCCTGTTTGGGGTGTTGATGGCCGCCGGTAGGAGTGCAGGTCTTTGTGTCAGTGGAGTTGCAACACGGATTCGTATCTGCTCTGCGGCAACACCGACGGGACGGGGCCGAACATGAGCCGTGTTTACGGGGTTTTATAGGAATCCCTTAACCACCACTTGAGGTCATTCCTGTTAGATGAACAGCTTTGGGTCATCACAGGAACCACTGAGTAGCTGCTCCGTCAGAGAGAATAAAAAAGGCTGGTGCTGAGCAGCAGCGTTAAAGGGGATCCTCAGTGCTTCAGTGATGAAGTCCAACTGAATCCATCCTTTGTCTGAATGACATGAAAACTGTGATCACTGCATTAATGTCCTCCAGGCTGGATTACTGTAACTCCCTGTTTGTGGATATCCACCGTCCTCTGTTGTCTCTGCAACTTCTGACTGGTACCAAAGAAACAGATCCCACAGCACCTCTAGCATCCCCCCACCGGCTACCTGTTAATACAGAACTGAT